TCAAACATGGATCGACACAGTAGCAGCAAATAATGACATACACATAAGTAGCGTTGTAAGGGGTTATACTAACAATAACGCAGCATATGCAGACTACTAGGATTTGCAGTAATAAGGCTGACTGCAGTATGTATAAATGTAATTTTAAAAACAACAACACATTAAGTAGCAAGAGGTGTAGTAGCAAAACATAAACCCCTTATTTTTTTAGTAAAATGTAAAAGATAACAATAGTATGCACAGGAGTGTATTAATGAGAGGTTATGTTATGACTATTTTGATATCACACTCTTTATCAGCCTGATATTAGTTCAAGAGCTGATAAAGGGTGTGATATCAAAATAGTCATATCTTAACCTTTTTATCACACATTTTGAAACAACATATTGTTGTTGTTGTTGTTGCTATCGTCTGCGCCGTAAACCGAAGCATCTAAACGTCAAACTAAAATCTGGAGTGAAGAACCCGGATGAAGTGATATCAGCCCGGGCTGATAACTGGTTATCGACCCGGGCTGATAAATGTTTTCCGCCCTGGTTGGTGTAAAAACTGTTTATAAGCCCGGGCACTGATACACCAACACAATCAACACTTGCCATATATGGGCAAAATGTATATTGTCAAAAACAAAAATGTGATAAACAAAGCCATAACACACAATATATATCCTGTACCCATGTAAACAATGCTGAACTAGAATTAACTAACAACTTAATTATAATTAGGGTGTGGTAAACAATAAAACATTAACTATGTGTACATATATTTGTTATAAAAAATGACACAACACATGTACAATGAGAGTGAAAATGAAAAAAAGCATTGACATATCTGAGTTAGACATACACACATACCATGTAAACATGTAAGTTTAAACGTACTTCGTTTGCTGTCGAATCAATTAACATACACTTACGTGGCTATTGTAATGTCAGGACAGCGTTAGACTATTTGGAATTAAGTACCCATGTTTTACATTTAAACTTAATTCAAAACTATCACGGAAGTTTCTGTTTGCATCTGCATGTAATAAATAAATAACATAGAACGCCAGCAGTAATTAACCGGTAATCACAGATGCATTTAAGAATGTCCAGTTGCTTACACTATACTGACAATCAAGTCAAATGATAATAAGCCTTGAGGTTGCAAATTTTTCATAAAGGTAAATATGGAAATATCATATCGTTTCACTCATATCTAATCAAATGTATATTCTGTAATTTGTAGTGAGCATGAAATCACTTTTCTTTCTAAAATAAAGTAGTTTTGATTCCCGAAGGATAATTTTCTGTAAAATAGAACAGTAACAAGAGAACGCTGTGACAGTTATAAATAATTTCTTCATCATGTAAGTCAATTGTTAAATTTGGAAGTGAACCAGTTTTCTCCACAGATAGTCAAGAAACCCTGGCACTGGTCAAATGTCCAATACATGTAACTTTAATGTGCATCAGGACACTTTTTGCTCCCTAAGTTTTAAAAAATGAAAAAGAAGGAAAAAAAGAGAAAAATACAGTTTAGTATATATCAAAATGAAGGTCAGAATATAGTGTTTCATCACTGCGTAATAGTTTTTAGGGTAAATGTTCACATAAGATATCATTGAAGAGTCTTGGAACCCAACCCATCAAATTGTGATCCACCAGAATTTCTCACTACTGTACACCATTTGACAATAAACATTAGCTTATTTAATTTGAGACTAAATGACTTGCTATAACAAAACATATAACATGTAGTTACATGTTATTTACTCAGCAAAGTCGACCATATTTGGGACTACTTTCAAAAGTATGGAGGCCCATAAATGCCAGTCTGTTTGCATGCATAATTTTAAACACAGATTCTCAACAATTTGCCAATTACTTCAATTTTACTAATATTGGTGAAATGGAATTTAACAAAATGTTTATTTGGTCCAGTATAAATGTTTACTGCGTGTGGCTTCCTGTATCAACGTGTTAAATCAATAAACGAGTTCTGCATACTGTGTATATTACTCATACAAGTACATGCAACATTTTAATTGCACGTTATTATACAACCATACGTACCATGTTTAAGGCTGCACCTCATTGGACCTGAACGTCATTATATGCATACACATGGATCACCTGCAGTCGTAAACTAACTTCTACCCGTACTGAATAATGCTATCAAGATACCATATAAAATGAAACATTTGTTTTTACATTTTATTCGTAGTCTACACACACATAACATATACCCCCGGCCATGCACTCATGCACCAGTACATTGCTACCCTGGAGGCACGTCCTTCAATTGCATTATCTGTTAATATGTTGTAAAACCAAAAAACACAATATTGCGCCCGTATGCCATTACACTTACACGTATATCTTACACAAATGTAAACCACATTGTACCCGTATAACATAACGATTGTCACACGCACAGGCACCGTTTACAAGTCTATTCCACGCTGTATTCCCATGCCATGGTACACGCACATTCAAGCCACATCGTATCCATAAGTTAGTGTGCACACAAAGTCAGTTATTTGATTGTACTCAATAGTATACCACAATATACTTGTACATCGTTATATATACAACGGTTTCATAGGCTCGATGCCTAGGGTAGTCGGCAGGTATTGTCCGCAGGTTTTATATTTAGATATAGGATTACTTTCATCATGAATTTACCATATTTCAATTTTACTACTATGGGTGAATTGGAAATTGGTTTATTTTAATTTTGTGCATTATAACTGTTTACTGTGCGTGGCTTTCTGTATTAACGTGTTAAATCAATAAACGGGTTCTTCATACTGTGTATATTACTCATACCAGTACATCCAACATTTTAATTGCACGTTATTATACAACCATACGTACACTTGTACCATGTTTAAGGCTGCACCTCATTGTACCTGAACGTCATTACATGTATACACAGGGATCACCTGCAGTCGTCAAATAACTTCTACCCGTACTGAATAATGCATTCAAGATACCATATAAAATGAAACATTTGTTTCTACATTTTATTCGTAATCCACACACACATAACATACACAAGTGGTCGTGCACTCATGCACCAATATATTGCACACATGGAAGCACGTCCTTTAATTGCCTTATCTGTTAATATGTTGTAAAACCAAAAAACACAATATTGCGCCCGTATGCCATTACGCATACACGTATATCTTACACAAATGTAAACCACATTGTACCCGTATAACATAACGATTGTCACACGCATAGGCACCGTTTACAAGTCTATACAACGCTGTATTCCCATGTCATGGTACACGCACATTCAAGCAACATCGTACCCATATGTTAGTGTGCGCGCAAAGTCAGTTATTTGTCTTACATTGTAAAGCACATTGAGCCTGTAAGTCACGTATACATGAAAAATGGGTCATAATAAGTGACTATACATAGAGATCCCTATGAATGGTGTTCGGCATTAGAGAAGCTTACAATTACCGGGTATCTAAGGTAAAGTATATCGTCGATAATTTGTTTACTTTTGTACTAGTTGATCTAAAGGCAAATGTTCCGTAATCGGTAGTTGTTGACAACAATATTGTAATTCCCAGTAACGTGTGCTATTCAACGCCGTGTATTGGTCAATCTATAATAGACATGATTTTTTTGTAAATAATTCATTTTAGTTTATCATCATTAAATGAAGTTTCAATTCTCGATGTATTCAAGGAATCGTTTTTATCGTGTATAGATATGATTAACTAACATTGTAGTAAACTATAAACAAAAACTACAAAAATATACACAGGGGTGTAATACACATGTACCCAGTACCCATTTAACCAATACCAAACTAGAATTAAATAACAACTTAATTGTGACTTGGGTGTGGTAAACAATAAAACACTAACTTTATGTACATAGATTTGTTATAAACAATGACATAACATGTGTACAATTAGCGTGAAAATGACAAAAACATCGACATATAAGTTTAAATTGACTTCGTGTGCTATCGAATCAATTAACGTACAGTGTACAGTTACTTGGCTATTGTAATATAAGGGCAGCGTTAGATTAGGCTATTTGTAAGCAGGTACCCATGGTTTACATTTAAACCAAATGCAGAATTATAACACAAGTTTCTGTTTGTATCAGCAATGAATAAATAATTAACATCGGACACCAGCAGTAAATAACCGGTGATCACTGATATTTTCTTCATTCTGTTTTTAACCCTTTCATTCTTATGTAATAATGTTAATTGGTACATCGGCTTTTCTGAGATATATGACCAGAAGTTTGGTTAAGATACTTATTAACACAATTTGGTAAGAATATTGTATAGTTCTAATATGTACTTAGAAAAAAGGAAGAATTGTTGACATAATTAAGCCAATATATCACAAATTCACAGTGACCTACTTATCAACCATGTGCTACTCTTTTCAGCCATTTTTATTATTTGCTGCTTTAGTGTTACGCAATACACCAAAATCATGAAGAAACTTCAAAAAATAGCGTGAAGTTTTGTAAAAAAAACGTCTATTTGTGATGTTGGTCCCCCACTTTACCCCCTCATATCTTGGAATGGTCTCCAAGCTGACCTTAATTTAATGTCATATCATGATGGCTTATCCCCAAGGTATGTATAAACAAAAAATAAAACTTATCGGTGATAGCCACCAGAACGCCCAAATTGGTACCCCTCCAATTTGAAATGAAAGGTTGTTCAATGGTTCTGGTCACTTTTTCTCAAATATATGATTTGCTCTTTCTTTTTATACTGATTCCAGATTGCAGATAGGACATAATTGTTTTAGAAATGGCATCGTCTCCACAAGGTATATACGCTGGCCTCAAGACCGAAATGAAAAATGCATATTACACTGAGACCATGGTCGACAATCTCGAGAACTTCAGAACTGAGGCTTCAGCCTATCTATCTGGACCAGGTGAATATGAAGACCTTACCTTTCTGAAGATATGTAAGAATTTGGAAGGACACGGACATATTGGCTATAATAATCTCGAGATTCTCAAAAAACTTGTAAAAAGTACAACTGGAGGAAAAGAGCAACTTCTTCATATGATCAACAATGCCGAAAAAGAAATACAGGAGAGTTTGTCAGGTAATATATTTTTAAATATTTGTATACCCATTATAATAAGTCTAGAATTGGTAATACAATACTTATATATACATGTAATTCTATAAATATGTTGTTAATATGATAGGTTTGAAATTGACGGAATAGAGATCAATCACGTTCCATATTAGCTCCAAAACAAACATGTCATGACCTATTTGTTTTAGTTTGATTGTAGTTTTTTTTATACTTAATCGATTATATCGATTAACTTGATGGGACGTATCATATTATTGAGAGTGTCTGTCCAGCTGTCTGTTCGTTCACACTTTAGTTTCCGCAAGACAACTTTTTTTAAATATCGTTACAATTACTGAGGCTAAGTTCGAACTTGAGCAAAATCCGCGACTAACAGTTTAACGTACTTTGTCTGATTTGTCAATTTCCAAACATTTGTTTCCGCAAGGTACCTACTTAAATATCGTTGAATTTTGATGAAACTTGATATGTATGTACATTATATGAACATTGATGTTGACCATATTATGTTATACTCTGATTTGTTGACAATTTCGTCGCAATAGCTTTGTCAAATATGACCAGTTTCTTTGTAGAAAATTATGTTATAAATGACAAAGGCTAAGGTGACCAAAATAAAACCTGTATATAATTTATTGCCGTACTGCTATCTGATTTGTCGATGGTTTTCGCACGCTAACGTAGGCAAATATGACAGAATTCTGATTAGACCTTGTCAATATTTACAATTTGTCTTACAGTGAAATATGCCAGTAATCAATGAACAATAGAAATATCTTTGATATAAATTGTATAAGATGAATCGATTATTGGCAAAAAGGGGTAATTTCAATTTCATTTTCATGGTTTAAAATATATACAAAAGGAGAAAGTTCCTAGTTTAAAAGTTGTAAAGGATGTATATTCCTTTAGCCTAAGTTGGCAATTGTACATGTACATGTATAATATATATTTGCAAAGTTTTATTTCTAACATAAGTACAGTATGTTTTCTCCTTTCACCACATTTCAAAAATAATCCTCAACATAAATGAATAAGACAGTAAAAATGCTGTTTCTTCTTACATTTCCATCTTTCCATAAATTTTGATATAACAATGCATCAAAAAGCTTTTAAGTATGTCAGTGTGTTTTGTTCCGCCTCACGGTTTTGTTTAAACGTGTAATGCTAATCTTCGTGACGGTCAAAAGTCCTGATACATTTTTGGATTTTTTTAGTAAATGAAAGTTTGTTTAATGGTTAAAACCCCCCAAATTATTTGAAATCCAGAAATGTACTTTTATGATTTGCTTCTTACAAATATTTTTTCTCTTTTTATGAGACATGGAAAGTGCATGTATTTGATGTTATAACAGATTATTCAGGGTTTCAGGGTATATCCTGAAAGAAACAAATTAGCACGGTTATAATATCGAGAGGGCAACCACAGGTGTAGGTGACCACTCGTTTTTATCACGTTCAATCTTTGTGTAATTTGTTTTTTTACAACAAACCCTGAAGAACACTGTATGGTAGACAATTTTTCCTCTATTTACTACTGCTATGTATATTTCACCAATAATAATAATAAATTGTCGTTCCGGTTCATTACCTCGCCTTGCGCGAACAGATACATTTCTAAATGGGCAAATCCGTTCTAAAGTCCTTCTCATGGTCTCCTATGTGTTACCATGCTGAAACAAAAATTGTATTTGATTTACCATTATAGGTAGGTGGTTTCAAGTAGTATACTGATCATCATTCTTATCTTTATCAAAATCCTTCATTTTTAAGCGTTAAGCATAATGGCATTTATAAAAAATAGTTACATTTAAACGGACGAGTTCTGCTGCGTCAGGGATTAATTTAACGGTTGGTCTGACCATCTCAGAGAAATAGATTAATTTGTTGTCTTTTTTGTAAAGGCATGAAATACCTAAATACTGTTTGTACATAAACACCATGCTTAAATTCTAAATATAAATATAAAAAGGAAAATGTGATTTTCCCAAAATAGGTTCAGCATGCTGTTTGCCACAGGAGATGGGTGCACAGAAACCGAAGCTGAAAGGTACGTCCACCAAATATAACTTATACAATTTGTTAACACTTTTAACGGTTGTATCATATCTTTGAAGAAAATGCACTGTTTTAACTCATCCAGCCCGCAGTGGCGCTGGATCCGTGCGTTGGTCATCTATCAGCGTTTTCTTTAAACCAATTCGTTTTTTTATAAACTATAATTCATGTCTCATAAGCAAACTAATCAAATCTTCCAAAACAAAACAAGCTTTATAGGGATGATATTTTTACTGTGGTGTTAACAAGACTGTGGTGTTAGCTTTTTTTTTAAAGTTTATCTTAACTTTTCATACTTTAACGGTAAAATAAATGAGATAACATTATCAATCTTATGTTATGATAGTTCAACCTGACTTCAAGGCTTATGTCTGGTATAAAAAAAAGGGTTTAAACTATTCATTGAAATTTATTTCCTCGAAAAATGAATTAAAGAATATGCATTTCATATGTTATGCTCTTTGATCTTATAAACCTTATGCTATTGTAAAGATGACATATTGCAACTAACAGGACGTGTGTGCAATTAGTGAAATCAACAGTTTATCACTATACTTTGAACATTTTTGAAAAGTCAGTTGGTAATTGTTGGACCATAACTAGTGTTACTATAGACAGGAGATCAAAATAGACAGATGGTCGCCATTGACAGGTAGTTATCACATAGACACAGATCAAATTCCAGCATCAGGTCCTAAAGACTGAACGCAGTTTTCTCATATTAAAAAACGGTAATCAGAGACTGCTATGTTTTTACTCTGAAACTTGTTGAAAAATATCTTGTTTCCATTTTCTCAGATTAATGTGTAGAGGATATCTAACAGTTTCTTAAGTAATTTCAAATATATTTCACGAGTGTGGCTAATATTTTGATATTTTTCACGAGTGCGCACACGAGTGAAATATATTTGGTAGTAATGAAGACACTGTTAGATATTCCGTCTATTACATAATATTTACAAAAACCTACACTGGAACGCACAACGACACATCAAGCTGACAATACTTGATCTGGATTCTTTTACCACTAACATGTCTAGACAACTCTACGGAACAAGATAAATTCTTCTCTGCAAAAATAAAATAATCATATTCAATTCTTTTTAATTGTATTGAGTCGATACTTAAGGTCATATTTTTGATAAAGTATGCCAAGTTACTATCATAATTTAATTATGTAGAAAAAGTCCCTTCATATCAACTCAGATCAGTACGCCTTGTTCATAAGCGCCGAATCTACAATGGCGGGAAGTGGGGGATATGCAGAGTAGTTTTGTCACAACTTATACTGATGATAACATATCAACACCACCTATGCAAGTTAAACTTACACTGGTCCTCTTATACTTTCTGCCGATCGCTTAGCCTTACTTTGGACTTGAAACGCTGACACCTATGGGCGGCCGTTTTAGGATAAAATACATGAACTACTTAAGTGTACACTTAAGTGAAAAAAACTGGACATAATGGCAAAAACTTTTTCACTTAAGTGCAAATCTTTTGCACTTAAGTACTAAAAGAACTTAACGCAAAAATACGTCCTTTGTCATTATGTAGTCATCTTTTTACATTATGTACCTTCGCACTCAAGTACAAAAGATTTCCTCTTATCCCTATTGTCACAATGGATGGTTCCGTTTACCGATGTATTGCGCATGCTCCAGATGTCAAAATGGCGGCGGAGGTTGAGGCGATTCCGGTAGGCTTAATTAGACTTTTTCGGGAATGTTACTGCGATTATCATTGGAATTGTCATGTAGGAAAATTTGTGCAAACGTTGAAAGGCAAACATGGTGCATGGATTCACGACTGAAATACAATGGTTGGCAGCTTATTAATTCGCAAACTACACAGACTCGCGAGGGCCACGC